TGCTCTGGAGTGTAAACGCTTCCTCTATGAGAAAAAGGAGCAGTGCATGAACCGAACGCAACACACGCAAATCGAACCGAGACAGTTGATCCCTATTGTCCATTAGTTTTTAGAAATGGTGCGCCCCGGCACCGATTCGAGAAGGACGACCACACAGACAAGTGGAAGTACGCAGACAGAAAGCAGCTGTGATTGGTCCTTGGTATGCCTTTCCAGCTGACTACGTGGGTTTGCCATCATCCGACGTGCAGTCAGGATTTTTTTTAGGTGCGCAACACCGGTTGCAGAACCTCTGCGTGGGGCGGGCGTGGTCACACACAGAGTGAGATTTAATGGTTGCAGAGGCTATGCATCAAAAGCATCAATTGGCCTATATAGGGAAGTTGTTTTTTTTCCACTGTCTCCACGTGCTTTCCCAGTTAGGTGGGTTGTTGCAATCCACCCTGCAGTGCTCCATTGATCTTTCTTATTAAGACAGATCACTGCAAAGGTAACAAGGCTATAGACTCAGCGTATTGGCCTAGTGGTTAGAGCAGTGCGCTTCTACCCTGAGAAGGTTGCAAGTTCCCAGTTTGATCCCCACAGCCTGAACTCTGCTCCCCCGGGCGCTGCACAATGGCAGCTCACTGCTCCCCAAAAAAGAGAGAGGGGTTAAATGCAGAGAGTTAATTTCTCCATTGAGGCAAACAGGCAGTCTGAATGTGGATTTTAAGCTACTCTAAAAGCTGCATCTGAGCGTGAGCTGGGTAATATTGCTTTGACTCGGCTCATCAGCTTTAGTTCCTTCCACAAACATCCTGTTGAAATCGCTGCGCATCGTTTTCCTTCTTTCTGCCGCAGTTTGAGGCCCCTCAGAAACCGGGACATGAAAAGCGGCCTGTCCTCTCATCAGCAGGAACGTATGAGGCTGCTGGAGCTCAGAGAGCAGCAGATGTGGAGCCGCTCTGTGTGAGCCCCACCTGTAGCTGGAGGGTCGGTTTGCTGTCAAAGCAGCTGATCCTCTGAAGCAGGAGAGGAATCTGTTTTATCGCTTAGTTTGGATGTCAGTGCAGCTTTTTGAGCAACGTTCACCCCTGGGCTTCTTTTCTTTAATGAAAAGCTTGTGTTTTCAGTTGTCACTGAGATTAAAGAGGCAGAGTTATTTATTAGAGTTCTGATAACTCTCCTTTTATCTTTTAACGCACGATACTAAAACTTTCATTTATATTTGTCTAATCTTTGCTGAGATGTAAACATGGATTTATCTACTTTTACATATAAAAGCTGAGGGCTATAAATGAGAAACGATTTAGACTGGATATTAGAGAGTGTTGGGAAAACTTGAGGATTTGATAAGAAGCCGACACCGGGATGTCCTGCATGATGGAGATCAGAGCAGCTGCTTTCTGCTTTGATTTACAGTTAATATTGAAGACGTAGAGATTTGTTTTGACAGAGGTTTTAAAAAAAGGCTGGGATGATCCTGAAAAGACGCTCCTTCAGGGATGAGAACAAGCAGAAACAGGCTGATTGGATCAGAAAGGAGCTGAAAGGAGCTTCTTTCAGGGCCCAGTTCAGCCCCCCCCCCCGCCCACGTGGGCCCTCACAGGTGGTAAACAAATCCCGGAATACGGATGACCTCATTCTGCTCACCTGGTTGCCGTAGTAACAGGGGTTAAGGAAGGTCACCCTTGGGGAGCTGAGGTAGTCTGAGCTGTTTTGCGCTGAGCGGCTGCAGCTGGACAGGAGATGGTGTGATTTTAACCTGATAGGTGAGATGTTTCTATTCTCCTCCTGCAGGGATAAAAGGATCAATAGCAGCTGTTATTAACCGTTTTTATTTTTCCCGTCCCTCGTTCACCCTGTTTGCTGGCAGGCATATCTTTCTGAAGCCCTGGTGTGGATAATCTCTGCTTTTTTCCCCTTTCCGCTCGTGTTCTTTAGCCAAAGGTAACAGAGGTTGGGTGTAGCTATCTGTGTTCAGTCCGTGTTTTTTTTCCTCTCTCGCGGTCATCGGATCCGCCGCTTTGAGACATCGGATTTGCGGTCGCATTTCACTGCCTACAGAGTCGCTACGTGGTTGAAGGAGAGAAACACAGCAGCACTCAGTGAATATTAACCAGCAGCTATTTCTATGTTTAAGTAAAAGAAAGGAGACGGGTTGGTTAAAAAACATTAGAGATGCCGCCGAAAAATCTATTCGTTCCACATATGGAGCTTTTCAGCTAAAAATGGCCACAGATTGTACAGGGTTCCCGCGGGTCCTTAAAAAAGTCTTAAAAGGCATTGAGTTCTTCAAAATAAAACTACGGCCTTAAAGGAATAGTACACCCAAAACATGATTAGCCTTCATTTTCTACTCACCCCCATGCTGAACAACACTCTGGAGTACTTTTTGATATCTCAAATGCATCTGGAGATCTGGGAGGCTTCTTGCTGTCTGCTGACATTCAAATAATGGAGGTCTATGGCGCCCGAGGCAGAAAGGTCCATAAAAGTCCACAAAAAACGTGTCAATATTCCTCCATACTGCTCGTCCAATGTATTCCAAGTGTCCTGAGTGGGTAGCATCCAGAATTTACTCGAAACGAACTCATTTAGAATGTTTTTAGAGCATAAACAGTAGTGTGTAGGATTTCCTGAAAGCGCGCGCCTGCGCGATCACGACGCTACGGAAGCCGGGAGACCAAACCAGATGAAAGTGCGCATTCAGCGTCTGCTCTGCCGATAATGCAAGCGTAGAAGAAGAAATGTGCTGTTTACCTGTGCAAAGAAAGAAACAACGAAAGAAAAATGTCTGAGGACTTCAGTGTTGAGGAAGAGCATGAGTTCTTTGCCGAGCTGAATGCGCTGGTTTGGTCTGCCGGATTCCGTAGCGTCGTGAGCGCGCACGTGCACGCTTTCAGGAAATCCTATACACTACTGTTTATGCTCTAAAAACATTCTAAATGAGTTCGTTTCGAGTAAATTCTGGATGCTACCCACTCAGGACACTTGGAATACATTGGACGAGCAGTATGGAGGAATATTGACATGTTTTTTGTGGACTTTTATGGACCTTTCTGCCTCGGGCGCCATGGACCTCCATTATTTGAATGTCAGCAGACAGCAAGAAGCCTCCCAGATCTCCAGATGCATTTGAGATATCAAAAAAGTACTCCAGAGTGTTGTTCAGCATGGGGGTGAGTAGAAAATGAAGGCTAATCATGTTTTGGGTGTACTATTCCTTTAAATGGTATTAAAATGTCTTAAATCAGTCTTTCGTAGGTCTTAATTTTTAAAACTTCATAAATAGGATTATTTTTATTACGATTTATTTTTCTAATCTAAATAAAACATTAAAATTGACAATTAATTTTTTTTTTTTTTTATCGCCATTATTGGTTTCGTCCCGATAGCGGAACCAATAAAAGCGTTGTTGCAGCCGGGACATTTGGGAGATGCACCATTAACTTTTTGTCTGGAAAATATGAGCAAGTGTAAATGTAACCAAGAGTTTCCTCCATGGCAAAAACCAGGGAACAAGAAGTCATTCAAGCTCAGAACGATGGGAATTAAGGCAGTCGAGTCAAACATGCGAAGCACGAAATACAAAGCGTCAAAATGGAGTTACAGAGAAACAGCCGGTATTTCTCAGTTTAGTTCCACCCTTGTCTCTGCAACGCCTCCACTTATCACCAAATCAAACATACTAAGAAAACCATACAAAGAAAAATAGCTGCAAAAAAGACTTAGCACTGGTTATGTTGGGGCTTTAAAACTGATTTTTGTTCCCTGCTAAAACAAAGTTTATGAATTCAGTTCAATAATTGTTAAAACATATCTGCCATTTGTGTGTTTTTAGCTTTCTTCCTGTATGGGAAGCTTTTAAAATCTGAAACATTAGTGCAGTGGTTTATGTTAAAATAAACCTTTGGGTTAAGTTGTTGCAAGCAGGTTTTTCTTGTGTTTCTTGTTAATTTGGTCTTAAATTTTTATTTCAAGCGGCATTAAAAAGTCTTAAAAAGTCTTGAATTTAACTTGCCTTATGCTGTAGGAACCCTGCTGTAAGTTTATACAAATTAGTATTATAACGCAAGAAGCTTGAGGAAACAGTTTGTTCTTATTTACTAGTTAAAAAACGCTGGGCTCCTCAGAGGACCATGACTCCCAGATAAAGGTTAAAATGTTTTCTTATTGAACAGATAGAATCTTGAAATTTTGTTTCTGGCATCATCATATTAGTAAAGAGCTTCATAAATCATCATTTTGAACAAAGACTTTATTTTATCAGATCAATATTCAAAATCAATGATTCATACAATAAGCCAGAAACAACAATTTCCAATACAACCATACAAAAAATTGGGTAACAATTATGGATGCACAATATTGGGATTTTGGCCGATATCCGATATGCCGATATTTTAAAACTCATGTAGCCGATAACCGATATCGATACCGATGTTAAAGCTGGACAAAAATAAGTAGTCATTGAAAATAGCAGTTTTGTTCTCCATTTCTGACACTTTGAAAAATAATATACTCAAATATATTTTCATATGCTGATATCAAATTGATTTTTAAAAACGCGGTATCGATCTATTTTACTTTCAAAATCTCGTGAAATCTCATCGTTCTGTTACAAACTCTCGTGATATTTTGCAAATTCTTGTGAGATTTTGTTAGTAAAATAGATCGATACCGCGTCAATATATCAACATATAAAAATATGGCAAAATTTCGTGAATTTTGGGGGGATTTCGTAGCATAACGATGACATATAGCAATATTTCATTAGTAAAAGAGATTGATATGGTGTTTTTAAATGGCAATATGAAGATATTGTGATATTTTAATGTATCAATATTTTTTCCCTCGTCTTTAGAAGCTTTTAAGTCTGTAAAAAAGAAGTTTTTGAGGAAGAAGAAGAAGTAGTATTTTTTATTTTATTTTTTTAGACTTTAGAAACTCAGAAGCGAGGGCTGCTCAGCTGTGGAAGCGACTCTTAACTGTTCGTTTCTGTCTCTCTGTGTCCGCAGCCCCAAACCTCCCCCACCGGACGGCGCCAAGTCTAACCCGTCCAAACGCCACCGGGACCGCCTCAACGGCGAGCTGGACAAGCTCACCAACCTGCTGCCTTTCCCAGAGGAGGTCCGAGCCCGGCTGGACAAGCTGTCCGTGCTGCGACTCAGCGTGGGCTACCTGAAGGTGAAGAGCTTCTTTAACGGTGAGTGTCTGCTCTGCTTTAACGCTTTACGCTGAAGAAGTGGTGCTTTAGTGAAATCATAACGGCAAAAAGAAACCACCAGTAGGAGAAAGTGATGGTCAGGTTTGACTGTTTATCTTGACAAACTCATGGAAGAAAAGCTGGACCTTCTTTCTTGGAAAAGAGGTGAGCTGAGGGAAAAATACTGAAGGGTTTGTTTTGTTAGAGAGAAGCGGAGGAAGAACGATCCTTTCTAACCCCTTTGAAACGTGTCCTTTGGGGCTCAGCTGATTATTTACACAAAATTAAAACCTCTTCTATTTCTGTCATCATCGCGTGTACTCCAGAGATCACACAGGGGTTTTTTGGTGAGGTTTCCAGGAAACTTCCTGACTTTGTTCTGCTGCTGCGATCAGGTCCAAACCGCCTGGAAATAAAGGCTCCTATTTACAGCGAACACTCAGCGGGATTGTGGCGCTCGCCAGCTGAGAATCTAAATCGGTGCAGAGCTGTGAAATCTTGCCCCTCCGGCTTACCGTAGATTGAAATTGAACCTCCTCAGCGACAGGAGGTGTTAAGCAGAGGTGGTGAGCATGCCGGGGTCCACCTGTCGTCTTCTGGAGGCTGAAACCGGAACAGAATCAGTCAATCTGACATCGGAGCTTCCTTTAGCTCTCTGAGAAGCTTTCAGGTTGGGTTCAGATTAAAGACAACATTTCAGGTTTGTGTTCAGATTGATCGGATTCTCATTTTTACAAAAAGAAGGGGAATTTTCAGAATGATTTAACAGATGAGTGCCAACCTTTTTCTCCTCTCTGGATGGTTTTTATTTAGATATATTCTCTTAAAGGTCAGCCGTGCTAGAAATAAATGTTAACCTTATGGAGCGGAGCTTCTAGAGATTACAGTAATGTTCTATAGGAAGTATAATCTGCCCATTTAATTTGAAATAATCTGATTCTCACCAGGGTTTTGAAAAAACATAAATCCAGTTATTAATACGATGCTTTACAAGCATGCAAATGAATGAGTTTGTAGCAGGAAAGTGGATTTTATTTTGAAGTTTGGGATCATCAGGTCAAATCAAAGTTCAGAATATTATGTTTTGATCTCAATTTCTGCACAAACGGATGTGTGAAAACTTCAGTGAGGTGAAGCAGCAGCAGGTAGAAGAGCGGGTCAGATTTCCTCCACAATGATTAAGGTAGCTCCTCTTTCTATTGTGTCTCCTCCGTTGTTCAGAACAGGTTAGAGTCCTCGTCTGTGCAGCAAACACGGCGATGCATGCATGCATATGATGCATGACCACAACACAGAGACATGAACGTCTGCAGCAGTTCCTGTTCTTCAAACTGAGCCAGAAATCTCAGCTGCTGCCTGCAGATCTATCAGTGACTAACAGCCCCTCTTCAGGGTCTTTTGATCATCTGCAGAAAACAGAACCTTGAGTCTTGATTGTCTCCTGGTGGGACCTGCGGCCGTAGGAAAAGCCTGTTGCTCCAAACTCATCTATTATTTGTCATGGCAGGTTGTTTGGCGTTCAGTCAGAGGCAGTGCAGGGTGTCTGGTTGCTCTCTGGCTGCAGCAGCGTCTTCGCTCCCTCCCTCCCTGCAGGGATCAACCTGTCCCGGCACCTCGGGGTTCCTCTTCCTCTCGACTGTCCGGTCCTTTCGCAACTTCCGCCTCATGCAAACGCTGCAGGGCTCTGGGTTGTTTTTCAAAGCTCTCCTGCTGCTTCTTCTCCTCTTTTGGTTTGTCCACTTTCAGAGTAGCCCATTCCTAGTTACTCTTAAGCTCTACTGTCTGCCAGAAACTCTGCAACCATTCTGTGGTCAGGATTTCTGGATGTGAGCTCAATTACCTGTATGTGTCGAGGTGTAACGACAATCATTTTCTGCCACGACTTCTTATTCTGCAGGTTTACTGCTCCCCCAGTAATTTAATGCCAAGTCTGTTCACATGGGAGCTTTTAAAGCCCTGAAAGTCCTTTAAAAGTCAAATAAAAGCAGACATTAAAGGCAGGAAGCAATTCAAGGTGGACTAGATGAAAGAAGCAGTCCAGATTAAAGAGAAAACCATAAAAACATCAGACAATGAAACGGCTGAAAGTCAGTTAATAAAATAAAAGTTATTAGGATCCAAGTGTAGGATTATCTCCTGTCGCTCATGTGCAGATTTGACGGTTCATGAATGCGGCTCCTCCTCATAGGAAGAGGAGAGGAAGGATGCAGCGGGGAAAAGCTTGGTCTCTAAGTAGGTTTGCAGGATTTTAGGTGGAAGAAAATACAACAGGGATATATAGGAGAGGAAAGTACGGAAGAGGATTACGGCCACTGGAAAAACAAAAAACAAAACTTAACTGATTTTTAAATTTTATTTCAGTTTAGTATGGGAAAAAAGTCAGAATTCTGACTTTAATCTCAGAATTCTGACTTTGATCTTAGAATTCTGACTTTGATCTCAGAATTCTGACTTTAATCTCAGAATTCTGACTTTGATCTCAGAATTCTGACTTTAATCTCAGAATTCTGACTTTAATCTCAGAATTCTGACTTTGATCTCAGAATTCTGACTTTAATCTCAGAATTCTGACTTTGATCTCAGAATTCTGACTTTGATCTCAGAATTCTGACTTTGATCTCAGAATTCTGACTTTAATCTCAGAATTCTGACTTTGATCTCAGAATTCTGACTTTGATCTCAGAATTCTGACTTTGATCTCAGAATTCTGACTTTGATCTCAGGATTCTGACTTTGATCTCAGAATTCTGACTTTGATCTCAGAATTCTGACTTTGATCTCAGAATTCTGACTTTAATCTTAGAATTCTGACTTTAATCTTAGAATTCTGACTTTTGATCTCAGAATTCTGACTTTAATCTCAGAATTCTGACTTTGATCTCAGGATTCTGACTTTTGATCTCAGAATTCTGACTTTGATCTCAGAATTCTGACTTTAATCTTAGAATTCTGACTTTGATCTCAGAATTCTGACTTTAATCTTAGAATTCTGACTTTAATCTCAGAATTCTGACTTTTGATCTCAGAATTCTGACTTTAATCTCAGAATTCTGACTTTAATCTCAGGATTCTGACTTTTGATCTCAGAATTCTGACTTTGATCTCAGAATTCTGACTTTAATCTTAGAATTCTGACTTTGATCTCAGAATTCTGACTTTAATCTTAGAATTCTGACTTTTGATCTCAGAATTCTGACTTTAATCTCAGAATTCTGACTTTGATCTCAGAATTCTGACTTTGATCTCAGAATTCTGACTTTGATCTCAGAATTCTGACTTTGATCTCAGAATTCTGACTTTAATCTCAGAATTCTGACTTTGATCTCAGAATTCTGACTTTAATCTCAGAATTCTGACTTTGATCTCAGAATTCTGACTTTAATCTTAGAATTCTGACTTTGATCTCAGAATTCTGACTTTAATCTCAGAATTCTGACTTTTGATCTCAGAATTCTGACTTTAATCTCGGAATTCTCACTTTTTTCTTAGAATTCTGACTTTAATTTTAGAATTCTGACTTTTCTGATCAACGGTGCAACTTCCACTATGAATATTTCAATTCTGGCAAAAAATCATCTCTAAGATTTAAGAAATAACCTGAAAGTTACATTAAGGTAAATAATACGGTAAGCTGCAGTTTGGTGTAAAATAATGAATGAATGAAGTAACCAGTTAGTTCTTAGTGACCTAACAGTTTAGGCCTGTTTATAATCTGTAACTTCAGATAAATAACCACCTACATTTTGGGAAGCAGTTATATGATCCAGCTTCATCTGAAAATATGGAAAAGATGCACATTAATTTCCCCGACTTCCCTAAATGACTGCGTTTGCCTGCTTTACGTCCAGAAAAATCCCCCCTCCCAGCAATATTTTGATGCTTTTCAGGACGCCGCATTAGGGAGCAGGACGTAACCAAGCAGGAAACGGCTCTGATTCTCCAACCTAACCTGGCATCAGGGGAACTCTGTGTTTTTTCCACACAGAGTTGGAGTTCTCAAAGCTGCATGTATGTCCGGCATTTTTAACGTCACATGAACAGGAGGAGTGGAAAGGAGGGGGACCAGGAGTCCCAGCCCCAGTAATAGAGCTGGTCTGGTGTGGTGGAACCTTGGTTGTTTTATGAAGCTGCCCAGCAGCCCTCGGTGTTTCCCCAGCGCTGTGAAGGCTCATGGGAAGTCGGGCGTCCGCCGCTGCAGGATATGACCCAGAGAGAGAAGCTCTGTCTCTGTCCTGCGGGTCCTCGGCCGTCTGACTTGTCCCCGAGCGTTGGGCGGGGACGAGGGGGCTGCTGGGAAACACCCGAGGGTTTGATCTCATATCCAAAGCTCACAACGCAGCCATTGTTCCAGAGTTTCTGAAGCAGACCTCCTTCATGTTCAGACAGCGCTCTGTTTTTATCCTCACTGTCTCCTTCTCTTTTATTCTTTGTGTCTTCTTTCCTTTCTTCTTCTCCTCTTTCTGGTGACCGAATGGCCTCATTTAACCACGGACACTTCTAGAAACACCGTCTACGCTCTGATAGAGAACCAAACACCTGATCCACTGCAGGACACACTGTTTTCTAAAAGCAAACCACACCCTGGGATAGATTACTAATTAATCACAACGAGGGCCCGAAGCGTTCCACTGTAACCGACCCCTGCACTGTGTCGTTCCAAAGGAAGACGGTTATTAACAGCTGTAAACCATTACAACCAGTGGCCTGATGGAGAATACAGAAATGTCTACCATCAGTGAAATATGTTCCCCAGATGAACCAAACAATCAGAGAGAGATTAAAATATCATAAAATACTGAGAAATGAATGAAACCTGTTCCAGAAAGAGATGGAAATATTCCACTAAGACCTTTATAAACAAGGCGAAATATATCAGAAGCCTAAAGGGTTTCCCCAGACACAGAAACGACAGAAACACAGAGAAACAACAGAAGATCCACAGACTGAATAAAATGTTTGCTCATTTATCGTTAAAGAGGAGAGGAACGTTTCATAGATAT